CCTGGGTAAACTACTCACTGGGTTCTGGGCAGATAGGGAGTACACACCTAGACAGAGATGGGTGGGTCAGTCAGAGATCTCAACTATGAGTCTGGCTGCTCATTTACAGTAGGAACACTTGGGGTCACCTAAAGCAGGACAAACAGGTACCCCACAAACAAACTGCTGTAGGAAGATTGCTCAGGTGGGGAGACCTCGAGTATATGGGTCACCAGGTCGCTGAGGGGTAGGGCTTATATAGGGCCTAGTGGATGTCTTTGATCTTCTGGACCCTTCAACAGCTTTTTATCAGTGTCGAACTGAGATGGGTTAAGATGGTCTGTGTTTGGTGGGCTCTGCATAATTTGTTCCCTCAGGGCCACCCATATGGTTTCCAGGTGACAAAGCTGCAGACCAGAGACCCCTCTCCTCTCTTGGCACATTGTAAACTCTTAGGTACATGTATTAAGGCAGCATCAGGTTGCCACCCCCACTGGTGGTGAAGAGAGGACCAGTTGGACTTGTTACCTAAAGGTTTGACTTTCTTTTGAACACCTTCACTGGGGATCGTGATATCACAGTAAGAGGAGAAAGCAAGGCTGGCAGATGTGTTGAATGTGGAAAAAGCAGCACCGGCCGAACTCCTAGCACGCCACTGTTGAGTTTCTTGTTTGTTTTCGCATGCCACATAGACAGGCGTGGAGAAGCAAAAGGAATTTCTTTGGCTTCATATAGCTCCCTTGTCCCATGTGACTATGGTTTTTAAAAATGTAACATTCTATTCATGGCCCACATTCAGCTCTCAGTATGCATGTAAGTATGCAGGGCTGTACTACAGGTGTGCCCCACTTCAAGAAAACAACGGATGCATAGTAAGACCAAGCTAATTTATTAAAGTCTTATGTTTGCGAGGAAGAAAGAATTGCCATATGACTTTGGAACAGCAAAGCACACTGAAAGTTTACAAGGCGAGCAACGGGCTGAGTACATGGCTTGCTGGGTTAAGTGGCTACTGGGAAAGCTAGAGGATCTGAACTTGAATTCCCAGAATCCATGTAAAAGTGGGGTGTGATGTCATGCGTCTGTGATTCCAGTACTAGAGGGTGGAGACAGGAAGATCCAAGGGGCTTGCTGGCCTGGCAGTCCAGTCAAAATAGTGAGCTTCAGGCTAAGTGAGAGACTTTAAACATCGAGTGGGGAGCAAAAGATGTGTCAGACACCTTACCATCATACACACTCATACAAGCAAAGTACACACATGGCTTAGAGAACCTATGTAAAATGAAATGTGCTTGGCTTGGGTCTGTGTAACCTTGTGCTGGAGAAACAGATCCATTCATCGGAGAGACAAGAAACCCTGTTCACAGCAAAACAATTTAGGAACGTTGTTTCTGAGGACTAGTTTGAGGAACTGAGCGGAGAAGCCTAAGGAATGTGGTGTGCACAAGGGACATAGTTACGTGTTTTCTAACTAGGGGACCAAGGAACAAGTGGTTCAGAGTGCAGGGGTGAAGAGCACACTGAAACATTTGAATCAGGATGACAGGAACCTGTGAAAACACCGAATCCATCCCTCAGTTCTCACATAGTAACCATGCAGGTTTGGTCTTGCTTTTCCCTGTAAGAGCTGGGGGAGTGTCTGTCCAACTGGTCCCTGGATGTGCAGAATCTTTTTGTACCTTCTCTCCCCCCCCCCCCGTGGCCTAGGCAACCTGCTTTCCCCTCTAAGTCTGGCTCCTGCACTGCCCTGTATAAAGCCTGGACTTGCTCTTGTCCTCATGCCCAAATTAGTCCTTGTCCTGCTGCCTCCCATGGCCTGGTCTTCTCCACACAACCTTGACACTTTAGATCTGACTTCAAATTCTCTGAGTCTAAGTCTTCTCTGACCTGGGAGAACTCCACAGAAAAGACTGGAGCTTTTACATCCCGTAGGTGCCCAGCACATGAGTGACAAGTATACCTTGGTCACAGTATAAATACTCACGAGACCCTGTACACAACTGGCTAATCTAAGAGCAATCGTCTCTGAATTGCTAATTCAAAGAGCAAATCCAGGTGCTTAAAGACAGAGCGTTACAGCTGGGAGATCTGACTCAGGAAAAGTGCTCAGGCAGCTCAGACTCCAGCCTAGTTGTCTATGAATTTAGTCCTCTTCATTCGAGGCTAACCTGGGTTACAGACTGAGACCTTGTCTCGAAAAAGAAAAGAAAGAAAAAAATTCATGAAAACAAAACATTAGATTTTAAAGCATTTAATAATCATACTCAAACAAAAAATGATTTTATTTTAAAAAAGAATAAATTTACATACACTGCATAAGCAAGACAGTTGAAGGCTTCCAAAATAGAAACCTGAAACATATGGTCTGAAATACCACATGCTGTGATTATCCCAGGAAGATGAGTTATGTATTTGGGCAAGAAAACCCCAAGTTACCAGGCACAGTGTGGAGTGGTTTTAGTGGCTGCCATGAAAGGGTATTAGCTTAAGGGTTATGCCTATGTCTTTTTCCAGCATTATGGTACAGGTCTGAGCAAAAATGACCCAAAATGGACAGCTGTTTAGAAAGCCGGTTCTAGATTGATGCCTTGGCCCAGAATAGTAGCAAGATGAGAAAAGGATTCATTATTCTTCCTGATTCCCAGAGGAGCCTAAAAGCTTTGGAGTCTGGGTGGGCCAGGCCTAGACTTAACAGGGACACATTCTGGTGACCAGAACAGCCCAGAGCAAGAGGCCCTTTGGACTAAGACAAGCTAAGCCAGCAGGGGGCACTCTCTCTCCAGAGAGAAACTGACAGACGAAGTGTGAACGGAGACCCAAGAGAGAATTTACTAGGGTGAAGTGCTTCTCTGTAAGAAGTGAACTCAGTGAATTGAGAAGGCTCACCAAAGGCAAAACATGATCAAGCCATAGCATTTAAAACCAATACTGTAGGAATCCAGAACTAAACTTGGGATCTTCAGTAACTACTTTCTCCCTCCATTTGCTGTTATCAAGTCTATCCAAGAGTGACCAGTCATAACAAATACTTAGGCCACTGTTTAATGTTGTGTGGCTAATATATTCACCCTCCATCTAGATTATGTAAACACAGGCTTGAATGCATTCACTGAGTTGTCAACATCCCTGTTGTTGGACCTTAAACTTCCTAATCACCACACCCACTGCTGTGACAATACATACCGCCTGTCTTTGCAGATACATGTAGAAGAAACCGAGCTTTTTGTCGTTAGGCTTCAGACAAACCACCTAAAATCACCGTGTGAATCTGAACCAGCATTACCAGCTCTAGTTTGGTAGCTTGGGGGTTGGGGGAGAAACATCAGAAAGTGGTCCATCAACAGCCATGCACTGGAGAGGCAAGCAAACCTGTAAGCCAGGGATTGCCGCTCCCCAGCCATGGAGCTGAAACACTGTCAGCCAAACCAGCCAAGTGCAGGGCCCTTTCCATTCCTATTCTTAACTATGATAGATAAGAGAAGAATTGTTAAGTGAAAAATGGGCATTTTGTTAAGAATTATTCCTTTTGTTTGTTTTTCAAGACAAGATTTCCCTGTGTAGCCCTGGGCTGTCCTAGAATTCACTCTGTAGACCAGGCTGGCCTCAAACTCAGAGATCCATCTGCCTCTGATTCCCAAGTTCTGGGATTAAAACCATGTGCCACTATGCCCAGCCTAAGAATTATTCTTCAGAAATTAAAACACTATATTCAGTACCAAAGAACATCATTCCAACCTAGGCCATGGGACATACTTAAAATCAGAGAAAATGTTGGCCTTGGTGTGAATGCAAAAGTTAGAACCTCAGCAGCCTTTAAGGGTGTGTGTGTAATTTTGTCCAATGTGTGTGTATAGTGAAACACTGGCTTACTGACACCATCCCTCAAAAGATCAACAACTACCATTTTCACCAACCCATCAGTGTTTATTCTGAAACTCTGAGTGCAGGGAAAGTGCTTTCTGTTGTGGGCACCATGAATACCTTCTTCTATCTAAGGAGGACCACTCTGGGTTTAACAGGTGTTCCAGTTAACTGGCTTTTTTTCCCCCCCTTCAAAATAGGCTGCAATTTTTCTTGCACTAAAATTCTTCAAATCTAAAAATCTTAAAGTTCTTAACTGAAAATCTTAAAACTGCCAAGAGGTAAGAAGAGGTGGGGAGGTCTGAGAGGGAGTCCCGGATGCTGCCTAGTGGGTGAATAATTGAAAACATTTATACAAAGTAGCCGAGCAATGATGAGGTAACGTCACAGGGATGAGGCAGTGTCAGGGCTGCCTAACTCGGTCAGGCTTCCAGAGGACGAAGCTCATCCATTCTTGTGCTGATCTGTGCCTTCTAGGCTTCTCACTTACAACCGAAGGTGCTGAAGGCTAAGCAGGAGCATGCAGGAGTCTCAGCTCGTCCTCATTCCCACCTGTGAGAAGCTGGCAGCCCGTCATGTGTTGCTACACTAGCATAGAAACTGAATCCAGGGATGCTGTAGACTATATCCAAGGAAGCTCAGCGTCTTGCTTCGGCTAACAGTGCCTGGAGGAGATGGGCTGGCAAATAAAGCAGGCTCTTCCAGTGGCCTCATGGCTCTGCTAATGGTCTCGCCACCCATTCAGGCACAGTCCAGTCTGATCACAGGACAAGAAGCCAATTTGTCCAAGGAGTTGGTGCCTACCTTACTCCCAGACCACACTCCAGTTTGGGGATTGAGACTCGGCATTAGGCATGGTTGTAACTGAAAAGAACTATCCTGCCTTCATATTACCTCAAGTCTGCTGGGTCTCTGGAGCTTGGTGGGGCTTGTAGCCATTCCAAGCCAGGCCACAATTCCTGTCCACCCAAGACCTGGTCCTAAGTCCATGTAACAGAAAGGGGGAGGGGTGGTCTTGCAGACCTCAGGTGTGGTTTGAGCTTGGTGTCCTTACAAATGAATCACATGGTTGGCACCATAACAGTAGTATCTATGTTACATCAGCAAAACAAAATATGACTCAGATTTCCTTAAACGGGAGGCATTGAGATTACCTGAATCAACAGCTTTCTCACATTTTGCATCTCACATTAGCAGACTGGTTCCCAACTGTCTTGGGCTCAGAGCAATCCCAAAAATCTGTGCAACATTGGCACAAAGGTTGTGGCACAGATGCCAACAGATGTGTAGGTGACAAACTTGTAAGGGACTTCAATCTCTAGTCTTCGCCTGGCCTCCTTGTTCCTAGTAACCACCTTGAACCATGAGAATAATACCTGCAGGGAGAGGTTTTGCACCAGTTGGCGAACCAAGAGGATCAACATGATCCCCACCATAAATTTGGTCAGACCTAAAACCAGCATGTCAGTGGTAAGGGGTGGGATGTTCTGAATCACAGGAAGAGACGGGGTGGGCTTGGACACGAGCTGGAAGAAGTGGTTGATCCAGAATCCTAGGGTCACTCCGGCCCCAGCAGCCACGATGGTGGTGGTGTCCGCCCTGGTCGGGCTGTAGTAGTCAGACACAGGGTAATTGTAGCACAGGAGGAACGGCACGACGATGACACACACAGGGAAGAGGGGGCTGGCGGAGTCCAGGGAGTCGATGAGGGTCCAGGCAGGGTAGGTCAGGGCGATGAGGACTGCAGTGATCAGAACACCACCCAGGACATCCTGCCGGGAGAAAAAAGGAAAATGGCTGCTTAGGACTGGGAATACAATCTCTGTATGATTTATAGTATGTATTCAAAGAAAGTATAAAGCTAAGAATTTAAAGTGAAAATAGGAAATAATATACCTAGTCACTATACAGGTGCCATGTACTCTCTTACAAGAACATTTCTGTATTTCAAGAATAAATTCTGAATTTCTTTCTGAGTGAGTGGTTGATAGTTTTATGGCATTTAATCTTATATTGTTATATATATGTTAGGTCACAAGAATTGCCATAGTCTTCATAGAGGTGGCACTACCCTTTCTTGGCAGATAGTGTGAAGGCTCTAAATGCCTTTTTTTTTAACTGCATTAAAAAAAAAACTCTGACTATTAAACATTACCAGATGAATGACCCATTAACTCCTTGACCCCACTTGACTAGAGTAAATCTCACAGGAGAAAGGGACATCCCTGTAAGTAAAGAAACTGGACAGTTTATAGCAGAAACACTATTACAATACACTGTTCAATACTGCTTTCTAATACTTAAAATACTCCAATATTTACTCATAAGATGGAAGAGTCAAATCATATTGGGGAGAAATGAACACTGGTGTTTTGTGACTGCTGGTATTTGAATGTTTATAGAGGTTATATTAATAATCACCCCAAACTGAAGACAACCCCAGATTCCTGACTGGATGAAAGGGTAAAAAAACAAAAACAAAAACAAAAAAAACCTGTGTTTTATTCATGTCCTGGAATACTTTTCAGCAATCAAAAAGGCAATGTACAACTTGGATAAAATCTCCAGGAAATGCTTTTGAATGGAACAAGCTGCCAAGCTCCAAGGGTTATATACTGCCTGGTTCTATTTATATGGCATTCTTTAAAAGACAAAACCTCAAGGGCAGAGAACAGTTATCAGCCATTGCCTAGAAGTCTTGATTTACCCTGTGTGACCAAAAAGGATGTCATGATGCAGTCTAGGGACATGGCACTCTTCCATACTGAGATGGTGATTATAGGGAGTTTAGCAGTCAGGTGGGGTGTGTGTGTGTGTTGGGGGGTAGGAACATCCTCGTGGAGACAGGGGTTTGGAGAGGAGGTATGGGATGTGGAACAGTCAAAGGGTGGACTGGGAGAGGAATAAAATTTGAAGTTTAAAATAAATAAATAAATAAATTTTAAAAAATTATATGTGTGCCAGACTTCTTAAAATTTAAAGTTACATTATATGTGTGTGCACGTGTGCCCACTCCAGCAGGCCTGTGGAAGTCAAAGGGAGCTGGGTGCTTTCCACTGTGTGGTTCCTAAGGATTGCTCGGATCATCAGGCGTGGTGGTAACTGAGCATCTTTTACCTGTCGAGCCATCTTACCACCTCAAATTCACAAAAACTTATGCCAATGACTTGTCAGTTTTTTAACTAAAAACCATTACAAACAAATGAAAATGGAAATGCTTGTGGGCTCCTTTGTCCCTGTCTAACAACACTGCTAAGTGTCAGCTGCTGCATTTTAAGGGGCCCCCAGAGACCTAGAGAGGCCCCTAACTTTGTACTCCTATCTCCTCAGACTATGCTGAGGATCTCCTAGGATCTGTTCCTCACCCAGTCCTTCAGACACAGTTCTGTTAGCTGGGCATGGTGGTGAATGCATTGTGATGCACATATGGAATCTCAGCATTTGGGAAGTGGAGGCAGGAGGATGGTGAGTTCCAGGCCAGTTTGGGCTCTACTGTGAGAATCTGATTCAGTGACCCAAAGAGAAAGTTAAGGCTGTTAATGAAGCCGTCTTCCACTAAGCCACGTGCAAGATGCTACAGCATGCTTTATGGGGCAGAAACTTGTCAGTAGCTTTTAAAGGTACACATTTATCTACTGGACTAGCAGCCTCACCTAGGGGTCTGGCCCAGGGGCTGTAACTGCCCACAGCTGAATTGAGGTCATCATGTTCTGCACAATGGTGTGGCTGGTAATGGCAAGATACTGGAAGTCCTCACCAAGTCCTTCTCTAGGAGTAATGTTGCATTTAACTGTGCTATAGTTACACCATGGGACAGAGCTGTGACAAGAGGATACTGCAAGCAGTTTACAAAAGGCAAGGTGGGCCTAGGCTGTCAGGCTAACGATGACAGAGCAGAACTTTCTGCTGACTATATCCAACCCTTCTGGCGACATATCCAGATGGAGCCTGCTCTAACTGCTTTCTTTAGTGGGAAGAGCCCCTTCAGTGAGAAGTGAAGCGCCAACACTGTCCTATTGGTACCTGAGAAGAAGCAGAAATGCTTTCTCTATGACTAGTGGAGTAGACATAAAGTCTGTGAGTCACTAAGCACTCAGGTTTGTGTGGAGTGGTCAGAGCACAGAAGGTACATGCAGAACTCAAGGCTGTTCAACAGTCCTCTTGTTTACCAATAACCCATTCCTGCAGCTCAGCTGGTAACTCAGGATGCAGGATCACTCCAGTAGGTGATGTTTGTCCTGCTCAGGCTTCTCTGTGATTGAAATGGGGGTGAGCATATGTGTTTCAATCATGGATAGAGCTTCTGTCCCTGGAAAGCTCAGCAGTGTCGAAGACCTATGTGAGTGAGAACATCTACCCTCCAAAAAGGTATAAAGGGGACCTCCAACTTAAGGATACCACTCATGCAGCTGTCTTACCTGCCAAGAACAGCAGGTGACAGAAGCTAACAGGAGCTGGGATTGGTGAGGAAGCCAGCTTTCAGCGGCTCTGCCCACCTGGATTTAAAGAATCCCCTGGCTGCTATAACCTTTAAAGGAAGTGAACGGACAATCCCAATTTCAGATAATGTATTTCCCTGCATGGGTTTAGAGACACTTTGTTGAGCAGAGTTTTTACATACTGATTTCTACACAGTTTAAGAGGATGGTGTTTTTAAAATGACACAGAGCATAGCAAACTGTTAAATCCTCCAATAAGTAACAAGGCAAGATGCTGAATAGCATGGGTAAGATATAGTTCTATTTTGACTGACAAAAAGCTTGGAACACGGACAGGTAGATATTTACAGAGCAATGCACTTGGGTACACAGTGGGGAAGGGGACTTTTCACACTAGAGTTTTATATCACATGTATGCATTTATTATTTCCTTTGTAAATAAGTGAAATTAAACTTAGCATCTTCCCCAGATGGGATCTGCCCATCCACGGCCACATGAGTGAGGACCTCTGTGCAGATGGCCTGCTGAGGACCGGAGTATTTTGTCTACGTGTTTAAAGGAACATTATTGTTAAGAGTTGGGGAGAGTGAAACACCACAAACAAGCCTTCCTCTCACAGGGAAGAGGAGATACTGCTACTCAGAAGGCCCCTTGTCACGTCCACCAGTCACATGTCTGACTCCCAAGGAAGTCAACAGGGACAAAAGGGACATTTGCCTCATCCATAGAGATAAAGCAGCTCCAGTCTTTTCTGGAAGGAAGTCTCCCAAAGCCAGCTCACTCACTCTTCCTTGGCCCTCCAGCCATGGTTGCTCATGGGGCTATCTTGATGGCTGCAGTTCTCATGGAGACCCCTGACAGATTTAACTAAAACTTTCTTCCCAGATGCTCCTAGGTTATGTCATGAACCATTCAAACTAGGCAGCACAGACACTCTCCCCTATCTGATCCGGAGTACGGCCAGGAATCTACACCCTGCCTCCCCAGCATAATCTAGGTTCAGTGAATGTAAAGTTAGAACAAAACAAAATAAAACCCAGGAACACCAGCCTAGAGCCTGAGCACAGTCAAAATCCTCAGCGTTTTCCAGGAATTTCTCACAGCTTTCCCACATCTCTCAAATGAGTCTGCTTGCTTTTTAAATTTTTTTAAATTTTTTTTGGGGGGGTGGCTCACACCTTTGATCCCAGCACTTAGGAGGCATGCAGGCAGATCTCTGTAAGTTCGTGGCTAGCCTGTTCTACACAGTGAGTTCCCTGGAGCATAGACAACTTTCACATATGAATTAAAAATGACTCCAATAACCATTAAGGGCTCCTTGGGGAGAGGCTGGCCTCATGAGCCCCACTCCATTCCCTGATAGGCTATTTATGGGCTCAGTCCTGTGTAGGCCTTGTTCAGGTAGCTTCTGCTGATGTACGTTCATGAGTGCAAGACCATGTCCTGAAAACATCTTTTCACAGCGTTCATCCCCATCCTCTGGCTTGGTCATTCTTTCTGCTCTCTCTTCCCTGAGACTTGGAGTGGGTGGAGCAGATGTCCTGTTTAGGATTATGCACTCAACAGACACTTATTTCCAGTACTCTGACGAGTTATGAGTCTCTGCTCACTGAACCGCGGCCCACTGCAAACAGAAGCTTCTATGGTCAAGGCTGAGCCCACTTGCCTTTTGTTAAACACACCGAGTACAGTTTTGTATTCCTTTAGCTATAGTGTGATCCAGCCATCTCTACCTGGCTAGTTCTCTCCTCTCTAAGGCTTGACTCTAGGGCTATGCCTCTCTCACACACTGTCATGTATCTCCACAGCTGGCAGTGATCTCCCTCCCCACTGAGCAGAAGGTGAAGAACATACTTCATGTACTTCCATTATTTTGCCTTTGCTGTGATGAGATACTTTCCTCTGGGCTCATTAAAAGTGTCTGGACAGAAAGTCAAGGTTGAGCTAAGGTTGCTGATTTATTTGCAGTCTTTCTCATAGCATCTGGACTAGAGCAGACACTCGCTTGCAAAGTCAGGAGGCTTGGGTGTTGGCTACCCATTGTTTCAAAGTATAAATAAGAATTTACCCTGGTTCCTTCTGTCTTCTTTTGTAATTACAGTTACCAAAGTCCCTGACATCTGGTTGGAATAGTCTTTATAAACTTAATTATGTTCATCTTCAACCCAAACTAAATTATTTTGGTTCACAGCCCCATCATTTGAGGCAAAACTAATTTTAGCCAATATGGCTGAAGATGGAGTTTCCCCCGTCCCTTCTAGCCATGCATTTGGATTTTCATCCATGAAAAGTAATACTATGATAAAAGTATTTAGATATTTTCATAAGAAAA